CCAGCAGGTCGAGGCTGCGGTGGCCAGGAGCGGCCTCTGCACTCCAGTCTGGGTGACAGAATGAGACTCCAACTCAAAAAAAAAAAAAAAAGACTGATTAGCAAAGTTCAAAAAAGCAAGCTAAATTGGCTGCTAACATGTGAGCCCTTATGTGCCTGGCATATTCTCACTTAACCCAATACCAGCTGTGTTATTACTCCTAGACTACAGATACAGAGGGCAGCATATGCTTGTCCAAGGTCAACAACAAGCCAAAAGAGGCAAAGTTCTCATCATCAAGAAGGATGGGCCCTAGCCAGGCTCGGTGGCTCAGCCTGTAATCCCGCGCCTTTGGGAGGCTGAGGTGAGTGGATTGCCTGAGCCCGCGGGTTCGAGACCCGCCTGGGCAGCGAGATCTCATCTCTACAATAAATCAAAAAATCAGCCGGGCGTGGTAGCGCATGCCTGTAATTCCGGCTACTCGGAAGGCTGAGGCAGAAGAATCGCCGGAGCCCAGCAGGTCAAGGCTACGGTGGCCGGGAGCAGCCGATGCACTCCAGTCTGGGCGACAGAGTGAGACTCCAACTCAAAAAAAAAAAAAGAGGATGGGCCCAAACATCTCGGAATCGGGTCTAACATCCTGAAGCAGGTACTTTCACAATTGCGTTTCCTCATTATGTCTGGGAAGGTACTGGCACAGATGACTCAACAAGACAAATCCCCTCCAGCCATGGTTAAGAAGGGCTTTGAACCGAATACTCATCCCTCCCCACTCCACCCCTAGAAGCCCACATCAGGACCAGTCTGGTACAACACACCCAGGGAAACAGAGAAATGGCAAAAAGTGATTTCACAAATCTGGCTGGAAGTACAAGGCTGGGTCAGGGTTCCTGTGACTCATGCACACCTCACTTGGAACAAGTTTGCAGGAATCAATGATGCCCTTCATGAACAAGAGGCTGGGGCCCATCTTCCCAACTCCTGTGCACAGAAATCAGAGGGAGGCATGAGCTGCTATACAGATGAGCCCCACACATGCATGGCTTCCTGGATGCCCACAGCTCACAGGCTCAGGCTTACTAAAAAAAGACCTTCCAGGCCTGGCGGTGGCTCATGCCTGTAATCCCACCACTTTGAGAGGCCGAGGCAGCAGGACGGCTCAAGTCCAGAAGTTCAAGACCAGCCTGTGCAACACAGCGAGACCTCATCTCTACAAAAAATATAAGTTAGCCAGGCGTGGTGGCACATGCCTGCAGTCTCAGGTATTCGGGAGGCTGGAGCGAGAAGATTGCTTGAGCCTAGGAAGTCAGGCTGTGGTGAGCGGTGATCATTCCACTGCCCTCCAGCCTGAGCGACAGAGGGAGAAGCCGTCTCAAAAAAAATAAAAGACCACCCAGCCTCCATGCCACCCAGGCTCTGCGCGACACTGCAAGATAGACGTTCCTTCCAGAATGAGCCTTCCCCAGCGGGGCAGGACAGCAGTCCCAGGTGATGGAGGGAGTCCCCATGGAGAACTGGGCTCGCAAACCTGAGCCGGCTAAGCCCCGGCCCCGACCGGCGACGTTCGTCTCCGGAGGCCGCCATTGGGACGCTGATCTTGGGGACACCGTGGTCCCCCCCCAAGACGGGGACAGACACCGGAAGTGGAGGCCAGAGTGCCAGGGCTCGGGGGTGTCCGGAGGCCGCGGGGTGCCCACTTCCTGTGCGACCAGGTTGCTCGGAGAAGGGGATCCCAGAGACGAACCCAACCCCTGCTCTGTTTTGGGGTCAGAAGAGGCCCCCCCCAAGTTTCTAGTCACCAGGGAGCTGCAAGGGGTCTGGACCCATTTTGGCGCCAAACGGCCGGGGCGCTCACGACCGGAAGTGCTGTCCGGCTGGCGCCAACAGCCCCTGCGCGCCGCACCATCCCGCGCATGCGCGCCCGGCTGTCAGCCACGGCCACCGGCCACCCGAGAGGAAGCGACCCCCCAAGAGCCGTGCCTCTCCCCTCACCCCAGGTCTGAGGCCCCCGCAGCACCTACCGCCTTCGGACATCGTCGGGCAGTGAGCCGGCTGGGGCGACCAGCGCAGGCACCCGGGCTGGGGCAGTGCGGGCCGGCATCTCGGAGGCTGCAGCAGAGGTGGCGGCGGCGCAGGCGGTCCCGGCTTTTCGCGCGGAAACCGACGGGGAGGGGCGGCGAGCAGAGGCAGCGCGTACCACCCTGGTCCGGGTACGGGGGAAGCCGGGACATACCACCAGGAGAGAGGCGGTACCCTGTGCAGGCCGTGCCCAGGGCTGCGCATGCGCAAGGCAGGCACGCACCCCTGCGTGGAACAGTGGGCTCGTCCAAGCTCCGCGGTTTGCCGGGAGGTGGGCGCGGTGCCCGAGACATTCATTCATTCATTCTCTCAGGCTTGCTAGGGGTAAATCTGCGAGTATCAGCACCCAAAGGGCTATGTATGAATGAGCTCTTAGGTAGCGGCTTTATTTCCAATGCAGCCTCCACCTGTTTGGTAGCTCGATCGGGCTACTTGGTGTCAGCCCCTTGTCCTCATCTGGAAGACGGGTCCAACAGCACGTACTCCAGAAAATATTGAGGATGCACAGAATTTGCAGCTACCACCAAGACTCTCGCAGTGTAGGAGAGTGCGGGCCACTTCTGTAGCTTGTATGTTTGGAAAAAAAAAAAGGGGCCGGGCACAGTGGTTTACGCCTGACATCCCAGCACTTTGGGAGACTGAGACGAAAGAGTACCCGAGTCCAGGGGTTCAAGACCAGCCTGGGCAAGTTGGTGAGACCTTGTCTCTACGATAAAGAAATAATTAACTGGGCATGGTGACACATGCCTATAGTTCCAGCTACTTGGAAGGCTGAGACAGAAGGATCACCTGAGTCCAGCAGGTGGAGGCTGCAGTAGCCATGAGCATTCCACTGCACTCCAGCCTGGGCGACAGACTCCAACTCAAAAAAATAAAAGAAAAAGCACTAGAAACTAGGGAAAAGATAGTCTTTGACATACGGTGCTGGGAAAACAGGGTAGCCACGTGCAAAAGAATGAAGTTGGACCCTTACACCATGTACAAAACCTACTCAAAATGGCTCAGAGGCCTACACTGAAGACCTAGAACTATAGAACTTGTAGGAGAAAAAAAAAAACATGGGGAAAAGCCCCATGACATCGGATTTGGCAATGACGTCTTAGATATGACACCACAAACACACACAACAAAAGCTAAAATAGACAAATCACCCTATGTCAAACTTTACATCTACATAGCAAAAGAAAAAAAGATCAGAGTGAAAAGGCAATATACACAATGGGAGAAAATGTCTGCAAACTATGTTACCTGTTAAGGGATTGATATCCAGAAAATATTTTAAAATTTCTACAACCCAACGAAAACAAACGATTAAAAAAATGGGGAAAAGCCAAGCTCAGTGGCTCAGCCTGTAATCCCGCGCTTTGGGAAGCTGAGGCGGAAGGATCACCGGAGCCCAGCAGGTTGCAACAGAGTGAGACTCCAACTCAAAAAATTAATTAATTAATTAAATAAAATTACATTTAAAAATGGGGAAAGGACTTGAATAGACACTTCCTCAAAGAAGATATGCAAATGCCAACAGGCATATGAAAAGATGCTCATTATCACTAATGATCAGGGAAATGCAAATCAAAACCACAATGAAATATCACTTCACACCACTTAGGGTGGCCACTATCAAATAATAATTAGTGTTGGTGATAAAGTGGAGAGATTGGAACCCTTGTGTGCTGTTGGTAGTGATGTAAAATGGTACAGCCACTATGAGAAACAGTACGGAAGTTCCTCAAAAGATTAAAAATAGAATTATCATATGATTCAGCAATCCCACTTCTGGCTATAAATTCAAAAGAATTGTAAACAAGATATTGAGATATTTGCACCTGTTTTCCTTACAGCATTATTCACAATAACCAAGAGTTTAAAGCAACCCAAATGTCCGTTGATGGATAAATGGAATAAAGAAATGTGAGGGCTGGGCGTGGTGGCTCATGCCTATAATTCCAGCACCTTCGGAGGCTGAGGTGAGAGGATTGTCTGAGCCCACAGGTTTGAGACTAGCCTGGGCAACTTGGCGAGACCTCATCTCTACATTAAATCAAAAAATTAGCCAGGCATGGTAGCGCACACCTGTAGTCCCAGTCACTTGAAAGGCTGAGGTGGAAGGATCGCCTGAGCCCAGCAGGTTGAGGCTGAGGCCGTGAGTGTGCCACTGCACTCCAGCCTGGGCAATGGAGTGAGACTCCGACTCCAAAAAAAAAAAGTGGTGGACCAGATTGGGCCCTTAGGTCTTAGACTACAAGCTCTAAAGAAATGCAAGTATTGGTTGGATTAATATGGATTAATATATAGGCCATGGGAGGTGCCTGACGCAGAGGTCAGATACAGTGTTGGCAGGTAATAAAGCTGTTTTCTTTCTCACAACAGTGTCGTTTCCATCTTACAAACAGAAACCCAAACCAGATCAGGTTGCAAACCCAGATTTGTTTCCAGCTTGTTTGATCTTTCTAATGGTCATTTGAATGGGGCTGGGCCCAGTGGCTTATGCCTGTAATTCCAGCACGTTGGGAGTCGAAGGTGAGAGGATTGCCTGAGGCCGCGGGTTCAAGACCAGCCTGGGCAACTTGACCAGACCTCATCTCTACAATAAATCTAAAATTAGTAGTGTGTGGTGGCGCGTGCCTGTAGTTCCAGATACTTGAAAGACTGAGGTGGATCACCTGAGCCTAGCAAGTAGAGGCTGCGGTGGCCATGAGTGTGCCATTGCACTCCAGCCTGGGCAACAGAGTGAGACTCCAACTCAAAAAAAAAAAAAGTGACCGGAACTTCCAGAAGAAATCAGGTGCAGCTTTTGTGGGCATTCACTACCTCTGCCTCCCCATCTCCAAAGCAGTATTCACAAATCCCCTACAAGAAAGACTCACTGGACTCCCTGCCTCCCAGGCCCCATTTCAGGGAAGCCATGAGAGGCCCAGATGTCAGTGCAACAAGGTCCAGGCAACCCAAAGCTCAACGACTGGTGGAGGGCTGGCCATGTGGCCCCAGGCACGGTAAGTCAGAAGGCCAGAGCTGAGTCACCCCAGAGGCTGTGCTCAGCGCTAGGCCCAGCAGAGGCCCTGGGTGGCGGTAGCAGCACTCACATTGAACAAGGACACTTTACCACTCTTGCCCCTGATGGGCCTCAAAAGCTCTCTCACTGGGCAAGGTGGCTCACGTCTGTAATGCCAGCACTTTAGGAGGGTGAGGTGAGAGGATTGCCTGAGCCCAAGGGTTCATGACCAGCCTAGTCAACATAGTAAGAACCCATCTCTACAGAGAATCAAAAAATGAGCCAGACATGATAGCATATGCCTGTAGTCCTAGCTACTCAAGAGGCCGAAGTGCAAGGATTACCTGAGTCCAGCAGATCAAGGCTGCAGTGAGCCATGAGCATGCCACTATACTCCAACCTGGGTGACAGAGACCCTGACTCAAAAAAAAAAAAAAAAAGCTCTCTTTCTCCATGATCCAGTGACATGCTAACTTGCCCAAGACAGAAATCAGATCTGGGGAAACCCAAGCCCCAGCGAGTGTACTAGGAAGAGCCACCTATGCCTATTCCTTGTGGGGCCCTCAAGCGAGTTGGAAGTTTCCTATTTGGGATCAAGGAGGCTTACTGCCAAGCTCTGTGGGTTTTTCCTTCCAAGAGCCCTTGAGTCAGCTGGCTAATCTGGCCCTCTAGGGCCCTTGGCCCAAGTCACCCTCACCTTTCTCCTGGATGCCCGCCCAGCCTCCTTCCTGGTCTGATACTTGGACTATCACCATCTATTTGCCAAACAGCAGCCAGAGGAAGCTTCTCAAAACCAACCTCTGATCATCTCAGCGCCTCCCTGCCCATAGAAGGCACCCGAATGGTGTTGTCCTCCAGCCCAGGTCAAGCCATCAGATGACTGTAGCCCCAGATAATATCTGACTGTAACCTCATAAGAGACCCCTAACTGAGCTTCTCCCAAATTCTCAACCCACAGAAACCAGGAGATAGAACACGTGGATGTTGTTCTAAGCCACTAGGTTTTGAGACTTGGTGTTAAAGTAGCCAGAGCTAATCATTGCACGGTTTTTACACACACTGTTCCTTCCCCTTGGAAAGCCCATTTCTCCTGCTTGAATAATCTCCAGTGATTCTATTGTGACTTAACTGTCATCTCCTTCAAGGAGCCCTCCCACAGTGGGTAGGTACAGTGGCTCACTTGGAAGGGCTAGGCAGGCAGATTGCTTGACTCTAGGAGTTCAAACCCAGCCCAGGCAACACAGCAAGACCTTGTTTCTTAAACAAAAAAAGGAGGCTTCCCAGACCTCCCCCAGCCCTGTTACATGTTTTGTTTTGTTTTGTTTGAGTTGGAGTCTCACTCTGTCACCCAGACTGGAGTGCAGTGGCCGCTCCCAGCCACCGCAGCCTCTACCTGCTGGGGCTCCGGCGATCATTCCGCCTCAGCCTTCCAAGTAGCCAGAACTACAGGCGCGCGCTACCACGCCCAGCTAGTTTTTTTATTTTATTGTAGAGAGGAGGTCTTGCCAAGTTGCCCAGGCGGGTCTCGAACCCGCAGGCTCAGGCAATCCACTCACCTCAGCCTCCCAAAGGCACGGGATTACAGGCTGAGCCACTGAGCCCAGCTATGTTTTATTTTTGTTGTTGCTACATGGTCTTTTAGAAACAACAAAGCCCCCGCCCCCCAAAAAGACACAACACACTTTTTTTTTTATTTTTTAGATGCAAGGTCTGCCAGCTTGCCCAGGCTGGTCATGAACTCCTGGGCTCAGACAATCCTCTGCCTCCCAAAGTGCTGGGATTACAGGTATGAGCCATCCACCCAGCCCCCCATAGCCCTTTTTATCAAAGCCTTTACCTGAGCTGGTGATCACATATTTTAGGCCAATGGTTTTATGTCAGTCATGTCCCCTCCTATGTCCAGTGCCCAGCAAAGTGCCCAGGATAAATTGGCACATAATAGTCAGGGAACCCTGCACAGGTGAGAGTATAATGCTTGTTCTCCCCAAATTAAATGTTCAGTTTGCAAATATCCATCAAAACAACCAACACACAGCCTTTTATCCAGCCATACTACTTCCAAGAATCTCTCCTAAGGCCCACTTGCAAAACAGGAAGTGGATTCAGTTACTCACTGCAGCCTTGTCTGTAGCAAAAGACTGGGAAGAAACCGGTTAAAGAAATTATGCTCTAGCCAG